GTCGCTCCGTGTAACATTCTCCATGCACAATCAAGGTAAAAATGTCGAAGGGCTTATAACTCGGCAAAGAAGGCTTCGCTACCCCTGATTTTGGTATCAAATGAAAGGATTTTGTTTATACAACATGTTTATGTGATAAAATGAATTTCGCCCAGGTAAATATTTTTCGTGATTATGAGCCCATAGCTCGAAATGATAATTCCCGCAGATAGTCTGGTTTTCTCATATCGGGTCACATATCTTTGCAGATATTGATATTTTAAATCATAAATCTTCAGATTCTTCAATTGAATTATCTCCTCCTACCTGTGTATTACCTGCACCAACCAATTTAAACTTTCCTTTGTCTCGATATCCACTGTCTCTTGATGTACCTTTAAATTCTGCACCCTCAGTCTCACTTCCCCAACCCTCCTCTTATATACCTACAAATGTATCGTTATTAAATGAATCTCCAAAAACCTCACTGATTGGGTCCCCTTTGTCCTCACTGATTGGGTCCCATTTGTCCTCACTGATTGGGTCCCCTTTGTCCTTACGACATGGGTCCCTTGTCCTCACGACACGGGTCCACTTTGTCCTCACGACACAGGTCCCTTTGTCCTCACGACATGGGTCCCCTTTGTCCTCACTGAATGATTCTCCTACAACCTCACTGAATGGGACTCTTACACCCTCAATAAAAGATTGTTCAACTGTTCCCTCTGTCTCCTTCCTCATATCGGCATCACTATCCAGCAATACTTTACTATATGAGCCTGTAACACTTTCTCCTTCATTGCCGTCATCACCTCTTGAGTCCCCTTCTTCCTACAGTCCTTTGTCCACATCCTGTTCATCCCTTGATTCATCGTCAGAATCTTTGGATCAGGATTCTTCATTTGATGAACCATTATATCATGATGCACCACTGTCAAAAAAGAGAGTTGGGAGTCAATAATGGCCTATAGTATCGAAAATAATTTAACATACACTGCTACAGAGAACTGCTTCACAATCATTTTCCTCCAAAAAATAAGCTACCATCAACTAGACGAAAGCTACAGAAACAATTTGTGAAGGATGATGTAATATCGAACACATTTTGCTCTTTGTGTAATGATTGCATTCCATTGAGGAGTAAGTGTGGACGGCGTACTTGTAGAGAGCAGAAGGCAGAAGTTTGTCAGCTCTTAATACTAAATTTCAAGGATGAGTTAAAAAGAATGTATGAAGGTATGTCATAATGTATGTTGTATCAGTAATTGCTTAAAGTAGTGATATCTACTACTACTGTTATATGACATTGTGATGTAGTGTATTCAGAAAAGTGTAAAATGTTTGCTATTTAAGGCCAGATGTTTATAAAGATTCAATTCTCTTTTTCCTTCGTGAAAATTCATTTTTCATATATTTACTATTATCATAAATCATTGTTGCATTAATTGCGTCTTAATTTTAATTGCTAACTTTGAATTTTTAAATTAGTTGAAGAAGTTGTTCATTTAATTCGCCTTTAATCAATCTACTTAAACATTATTGCAATATCTGCTTATTTTTTATAGTTTATTGGGAAAAACTACAATATTCTTTTTCCCGTCAATCTAGATCTGACACATTATCTGACATTCATGACGGCAGTGTCATCAAAAATTTAATGAAACCGGGAGGCTTTTTATCTCAACCAGAGCATGCTGCTTTTATTTTGAATACCGATGGCGTGCAAGCATTTAATTATTTAAAGCACAGTATTTGGCCTGTTTATTTAACTTTAGCTAATTTACCTCCTGATATTCGAATGAATGAGAGAAACATCATGCTTGCATCTGTTTGGTTTGGTCCACATAAGCCTAATATGCCAACTATACTAGAGCCTGTTATAAAATCTGTAAAAGAGTTGTGTACTACTCATATTACAGCAAATACACCTGCAGGTAAAAAGCTCATTAAAGCTATGATAATTGCTGCAGTATTTGATCTTCCTGCAAAAGCTGGTGTATTAAATACTATTCAATTTAATGGATATTTTGGCTATATTTGTTGTAAAGATAAAGGAGATAATTTATCAGCACATCAACATGTATACCTTCCTACGGCTGCTCATGAAATGCGTACTGAAAGTGAAATGTTACAGTGGGCCGATGAAGCTCAAGCATTAGGAAAACCATTTTATGGTGTTAAAGGTGCATCTATTCTCTCAACGATAGTTAATATACCTTTCGGAGTTCCTATAGATTACATGCATGCAGTACTAGAAGAAGTAGTGAAATCATTAATGAATCGTTGGGTTAAAGTTAGCAATCAGCCTTACTCATTACACCAATATGTTGCACTAATCAACAAAGCAATGCTGTGTATCAAGCCACCTCATGAATTTCGAGGAAGTCCACGCAGCATTGACACTTTTGCTTTCTGGAAAGCATCAGAATATCGTGTTTTTCTTCTGTTTTATGTTGTTCCACTTTTAAAGGATTTTCTGCCTTGTGAATATATTTATCATTTATTGCTTTTAGCTGAAGCTATGCATAGGCTTTTATTGACTGCAATTTCGGTTGAACGAGCTAGATGAAATTCAGGAACAGATGATGTTATTTTATGACTTGATTCCTGAACTGTATGACTCTAGCTTGTGTACAGCATGTTCATTCTTTGTGTCATTTAGTTCCTCTAGTGCATTATTGGGAACCGCTTTGGACTGTGTCAGCCTTTGGTTTTGAGAATATTAATGGTGTACTAAAACGCCAAATTCATGGAACACGGCAGATTTTGTACCAAGCTGTATCGGCAATGAACTGTAGAAAAATGTTGTATTTTGAAAAGGCAAACAGTTCATCTCTTGAGTCATCTAGCATAATAGTTGGTAAAAGTTCTGTGAAGTTATTATCATCTGAATTTTCAAATATTATTGGTGCTACACAGGTTCTGTGTTTCTCTCGAGCTAAAGTTGGTTCTGTTGTTTATCATTCAAGAGAACAACAATGGAAAAATCCTGCTCGTATTAGCTCTGTCATTGCGTATTACATGGACAGCGTACATTGCTTTGGGTATGTTCGTTTTTTTATTAATTTTGAAAGTGAGGCAAAAGTGTTAATAAATAAGTATACGATTGATACTGAAGGAGTTTTATGTGATGATGGCAGGCCCAAAATTCAAGTGCTGTGTAGCACAAAGGCTACTATCCTTGACTCAACTATTTTCAAAGTAAAGAAACTGTCAGTTTGCAAGGAATTAACTATGATAACTACTAAACAAATATCTTCTAAATGTGTTTTGATACCTATTAAGGGACAACCGTATGATTATATTATTTTGCAACCAAATCTAATGGAAACTCATTAGGTTAATTAGTAGTAAATTAATAATAAGGTTTGTTGTTTTGTAACTATCTGTTTTGTTTCATTTCCTTTTACTTCTGTGTCCCACTCCTTCTGACCACTTCATTTCAATCTCTGATCATTATTGCATTTGCATGCATAGCACTGCAATGAGAATTCTAATTTTGAACTGCGTTGTGTATGTATGAATGTTGTCAATTTAAACATTTATTATGCATAATTTTAATAATTATTTCTTTTATTAATTGTAAGTATTTGCATTATTTGTCAAACTAACTGACAAGTTAATAATGTTGACAGTGAAAGCTAAAGAACGGGCATGTTAAAGCAACTGTTAGAGTTAGCATATCACACTTGATGACGTGAGGTGTATTGTAAAATGTTTATGCTATGTTTGCTGTCAGAACTCTGTCTATTGCTTCAAGTTAGTGTTTCAATTCTTTAAGAGTCTCATTATTTTTAATTTGGTAATTTATTATGTTATTTTAACATTACGTTTGTTACTATTTGTTCTTATGGAACAACACGTATAAAGTCTTCACTTTCTCTCCAGCATTAAAGTAGGATACTTTATTGTTACGCTTACTTATTATGCCATTTTAGCGTTCATTTTTAATCAAATGTTGGTTACTAGATGCTAATTTCATAAAGCCGTATTAAATGTTGTACTTTTGTTGATTAACCTCATTAGCTGAAAAATTGTAATTAAGATAAGTCAATAATTATTTTCTGAAATGTTTACTTAATTTTGTTATCGCTATGATTATAGAAACACAAGTTATCTCTTGTTATAAGAACGGCAGATCACATGCAGGCTCCTAAAGACATGCTGGCTTTACCATAATCCAATTTCTTTTCTATTTATGTTATTAAACATGAGATGAAGCTAAGTCATTATTATTAATTGGTAAGTAATTATATTAATTTTTCAAATGTTTACTTTATACTAGAGCTCTTGTTTCAGATAAGAAACAATATGGAGTGTTCAATTTTTCCCAGGATTTCAAAAATGGATTAAAGAGTGCATTTATAGTACTTGTAAGTGCATATTGTGTACTGTTTCTATATAGGAAACACATACATGTTGGCTACTAATTTGTTCCTGCCTTAGTTACAGTAAAATGAAAGGTATTTCATTTTGCTTGTGTTGTCATTATGAATACTTATATTTTTCTGTAGTACTTGTTATAGAAATATAGTAGATATTGACATTCGTTAAGCCTGAAAAGTTGAGTCACAGGTACTGTAGTCATGCTACTGTAGCCCTTATCTTGGTCCAAAGCTTAGAGTTGAATTAAAGGTATACTTCTTATGCTTTTGTTATTAGTGTTCATATTTTTAATCTAGTAACTCTGCCACTAGCTGACTATTGACTCAATATATACAGACCTCATTGCCTCACTATATATAGTATGTTTGCATGGACAGTCAAAGCTGACATGACTTTAAAATTGTTATATTTTATTACATTTCATTACTAAATTATTATGCAATATTTTATGATCCTTTTGGCATCTTGTTTTGAGAAATTTTGTCATGAACTTATTTCCATTGCGACTGGATATTGAGCAAATCTTGATAGGATCATTTTTGATCATGACCAAATCCTGAGAGGATCTTCAGCTAATCCTGACAATATCTTATTTAATCTTGAGCAAATCTTGTAAGGATCTGACTTGATCTTGATAAATCTTGACACATCTTATTCAGATCTATCACATATCTTAACTAAAATCTTATTTTAATCATGTAAGATCTCTTTAAGTTCCTGGAAAGATCTTATCAGATTTTGGAACCAACATCTTATAATTTTTTTATTAAAATCTTGTTAAGATCTTATTTAAGATCTTACATCAAGAACTTAACAAGAACATATTGCTGGGCTACCATTGCATTTGGGAGTTTGTTACTAAAAGTAGATAGAGTTTGCAAGTGGTCTATAAGTGTTTTTAAAGGGAAGGCACACCTTTCTCCTGGGTGTACAATCCCCCCCATACAATGATTATGCTATTTATACACTTGCACATAATTTGTTGATGACATGTTTGTCTCTATATTTATCAATCTCTTAATTCCTCTATCCTTCCTTTATATTATGAAAGCATTGAGCCTATGAATTAAGTGGAACACAAGCCATTACAAGATTATACACATGTGTATAGCTCCACTATTGGCACATACAACATGTATACATGTACTTTGTATGTACGTGTCTTGTACACAGGGGTTTAATTTATTTAAATTTTAGTACATTTGTAGGTGTCACGTGTTTAATGTAATAGCAATCACATAAGCATTTGGTAAATGTGTACATGTGTACCTCTAAACAATTATTACATGTACCTGCTTGTACCTACTTTCATGTCATGTAATGTAAACATTAATATACGGTATAGGGGGAATCTTAGAGGGAGTTAAATTTTGGCAAATTTGGCGTTTCGATAGCCATTTGCCAAAATGAAATCCACCATTTGAGCCATTATGCGCATGCTGAATGGCATTGTCAAATTGTTGTCAAATTCTTTACAAGAAGAAAACTTGAAAAAATGAAATAGATAGTGTGTATTTGTACATGTAAGGGTAGGTGTACATTTATCATTTAATCTAATGTATACTGCTGTTGTGTAATAGTTCATAGATTCATGGCATTTGCCTCTAAGTCTTTCATGTAGATAGGGGGTCTTTTGATATTTCACCATTGCTTTTGCAGTGAAATCCTTTAGTTCTGTAATGTGATAAACCCTCTTTCTATTACCACAGCAAATCTTTCTCTTTTGTAAGAACTAATGAAGCAACATGAAGTAAATAATTTAACATCACATTGACTGACTTTTGGGGTAGCGAACAGCAACACCAGAAGTAAGGCTGCGAATATGTAGAAAGCTGCCAAAAATGAAGAAAAATTAGTAAAAGCATATAGAAACTTACATGACATCATTGATATGCTCTTTAAGTTCCAGCTACTATACTTGGAAAAAAGCACAAAGATAAAGCTTTTACAACAATCCTGACTTCTGACTTGTGCAGTCTTGTGCAACCCTTGATATAGAAAATTATTGTGTAATATGTAGTAATTACCACAATATACATATAAAATTGTAGACCTCCCTCAATCCACCTTATTTGGCCTCTTTTGTCCTACTATGTTCCACTCCTTTGCATATCCACATATTGTGTTTTGTTTTGCCACTTCCCACAAGCTTGTGATGTTTCTTGACTTCCTAATGCATGTTATGTTTGTGCTTCAAGATCATATTATTTAAAGAAGACTGGGTTAACTTTCTGGTGCTAGTCAAATGTTGTAACATTTGACACCGCTCATTTCTCAAAACCTAGGAGTGTCAATAATTACAACATTTGACTAGCACAAGAAAGTCTAACCCAGTCTTCTATGAATATGATCTTGAAGGACAAACATAACATGCATTAAGAAGTCAAGAAATATCACAAGCTTGTGGAAAACCCTCTCTCCTCCAATGATGGAGAATACACATATGATTCACCAATATAGTCTTCTCTCTTTCTTAAAGTCCTTTCATTTCTCACTCTCCCTCTCTCACTATCTCTAATCATCTAATGTAGGTCTACGTCTATTTCAGAGACCTACATGAAGGAAACAAAACTAATAATTACAGTATGTTATGTACATGTACAAATGCATGTACACGTGTTAAGATGTACATGTACACCTGAGCGATTCTGAAAGAACTTTACATATTCTCTTTTGTACATTTACATGTGCCTCTTTTCTCTTGTAGGCTAATTGACAGCCAATTTTGAGTAGACAATAGAGGTGTGTTGCGTTGATCAATAATGACCAGGTATGCAATGAAGTGTATGCATGTACATGTAGAGCTAGCTTATATGTAAAGGTACATGTACTTGTATATGGGTATGAAATGCATCATGTTCATAGTGCATACTAATACAGTAGCTGAGCAGTGCTGTATACAATGTACATCTATATGTATGTTATTGATTAACAACCTGGGGGCTGCGCCCCCAGGTCGTTTCTATAATTGATTTCACCCACGTGTGATGTTTGTATATATATATATATATATATATGTGACCCGATATGAGAAAACCAGGCTATCTGCGGGAATTATCATTTCGAGCAATGGGCTCATAATCATGAAAAATCTTTACCTGGGCGAAATTCATTTTATCACATAAACATGTTATATAAACAAAATCCTTTCATTTGATACCAAAATCAGGGGTAGCGAAGCCTTCTTTGCCGAGTTATAAGCCCTTCGACATTTTACCTTGATTGTGCACAGAGAATGTTACACGGAACGACCACGGAATAATAACAGAGGGCTTTAATGCATCATTAGGTAACCATGGAGTCTCTATAGCAACTATTTAAAGTATAACAATGACGAAGAAGACTACTTATAAAAACTATGGCTACAAAAAGAGACATTGCTCGCTTGTTAAATGAAGAAATAGGTCCTTGAGACAGTGACTACGTTGCTTCAGTTCTTGGGGACTACTTTTGTGATGAAACTAGTGGTAAGCTTATTCATAACACTGTTTACATACTAACTGTGAATAGCGGTTAGCTATCACAACAATGACATTCCATCACCTGTATAAATGCACAATATTATTATAATAAACTTAGTTATACAGTGTATTTGTTAATTAATAGAGACAGACTATGAAGCAGTAGAAGATATGGAAGAAGAAGAGGTAGAGGAAGGGAAAGAAGAAGACAAAGAGACAAAAGATTGTGATGAAGATATTAATCCACCACTGTTTGATCCTGAGGTGGCTGTGGAGCTACAATATCAGATCTTGATTTAGAATCAGCGATGCCTGATGCTCCACCTACTTCAACTACTCACTCTGGTGATGACATGAGGAAGGAAGACCTACAGGAGGAAGAAGAATTATCAAAGTTCTTTGAACCAGGGGCGTAGCTGAGGTAGGGCCTGAGGGGGCCTGGGCCCTACCATCAAAGTGGCCTTATAATTATATTCATAACCCAAAAGGTTATATTCATTGTTCTTACAATAACAAAAGGGATGGCTGATAACCACAGCTCTTTTAAAGCTATATACAATGATAATTTCACTCTGATTTCGCTCAGCTTGCAGGAAAATGCCTCGATTTTGTTACGTAAAAAGGGTGTGGCCAAAATCGCTACGCGCTTCGCGCGCCATTTTCTTTTCTTGCCCTACCGTCACCCAAGGTCCAGCTACGCCCTTGCTTTGAACATGGATGTGGTTGCTCAGATCATTGCTATGCACTGTTCAGTCACTCTTACATAAAAACATATAGATGTGACATACAAGCCATGGCGAAGCCTATTCAAGAAATTGCTATTATGAGTCAAATGGCAGCAACATCTACCATGGGGGGATTGTCGACTGGCAACCACAGGAGACAGAATGAGAGAAATAGGCAATTTTTTAAGTTCATGCATCAAGGTCATAAGGTTTGTAACTATGAGTGACACAACACAAAATTAATCGTTTTTCAACTAGATATGTAGAGAAACATTTCTGAAGCTACATGCATGTGGCAAGAGCAGGTTTGAGGAAATCATAAAAAACTACAGAATGAATGGATTAATACCAAGGTATGAGACTTACAAATTCAATGTTATGTACTTAACTTTATTAGAGTTCACGGAAATGCTGGAAAGACACCAAACCATGCTTTGACTTATAATGATATTTTCCGGGTTGTTGCTTTCATCAGAAATTACGCTGAAGTCCATGGAATCAGTCTTCCTGGAAGAATACTTGGAATGAAAAGTTACGAGAATAAAAAGTTCTTACCATGCAGTACATCTAAAAGGCAGGTATACTTAAGAGTATGCGGAATCATGAGAAGGGCTTTATGTCAAAGCATGTGCTGAAACAACATTCAACATGTTGTGGCGATGCTACCTGCCTTATATTGAAAAAATGAAGCCTATGTCTGACTTGTGTGCCACTTGTAAAGAGATAAGTGGACCGATTATAAGAAGTGCTAACATGCAATCAGATGAAAGGATAACTGAGGTAAGTCAGTATTGTAATAACACAAGTATTATTTAGAATTTTCAGGCAATGCAAACGGCACTAGATCACAGAAGTCTTGTTAAAAAGGAAAGGGAGTACTATAAGGATGTATTAAAAGAGGCACAATTATTGTTAAAAGAGCTGTATAATGACGCAGCAAACAATTACAATCCCCCACTAACAAGGCCACTTGCTATATTAAATATTGTAGTATATTATAGCTTCGATTATGCTCAACAGGTAACATTTTATGATAATTATGAAAGTGTATCTAGCTTACTTAATTTTTTAAAGGTTCACTATCCTTCAAGTCCACTACAAGCAGGTCCAATTTATTTTCTTACTCCAAGGAAATGTGGCATATTTGGTGTGTGCTGTGAAGCTATCCCTCAGCAGGTTAATTTCTTGATCAATGAATCATTCGACACTGGTAAAGGGACAAATCCTGTCATAAGCATGGTACATTTTTATTTGAAGAATCATGGCCTCAACTCAGTCAGTATCCATTTCAATGCTGACAACTGCACAGGGCAAAATAAAAATAATAGTTATTCAAGTAAGTATATTACATGCACAATAATGAACATTTTAAATGTAATTCTTTATTTATTTTAGTACCTCTTATGGAGAGTCATGACAGGACTCAATGCGTCCATTTCAATATCCTTTCTGCCAGTTGGACACACAAAATTTTCTCCAGACTGGTGCTTCGGACTATTAAAACAAAAATTCTGTAAAGCAGAGGTGAACTCATTGGATGACTTCATTCAAGTTGTAGAACAATCACCTGCTGTGAACAAAGCCCAAACAGTAGGAAGTAGCATGGTGAACTCATTGTAGAAACACTTGAATCGTGTAGTTACTTTGCTACATTATTCAAGAAAATAAAAGGCATCAAAGGCTTTCAACACTTTGTTGTAAATGCGACCTCACCTGGTGTAGTTGCAGCCAGACAAGCTGTAGATGGCCCAGTCACACAATTCAATTTGCTGAAGGAGGACGCTCAAATAATGGAAGATGAACTACCTAAAATATTACCACCAAAGGGTATGTCAACTGAAAGGAAATGGTACCTTTACGAAAAGATAAGACCTTTTTGCAGATACGAATGTAAAGATGTAACCTGCCCACTTCCTGATGCACCTCGACTAACAGGATCATCTCGACAATCAACTCCAGGTGTAGATGATCCACCAGACCTCGCAATGGAGATTGAAGTACCACATTCTCCAAGGCAATCTCTAGAACCACCTGCAACACAAAGAAAATGTGGTAATTGTGGTCAATTTGGTCATAATAGAAGAACTTGTCCATGTAATCAGTAAATGAATAACAGAAATGAGTTTGTGTAATGCACATACTATTGATCCCCTTTCAACAGGAGAGGAACTAGTTTGTCTACAACAAACAGACTATTGATCCCCTGAAACAGGAGTGGAACTAGTTTGAATGCCAAATATTCAAACTATTGATCCCCTAAAGGAGAGGAACTCGTTTGTAACGCTAAGACATACAAACTATGGATCCCCTTTTTTAAAACAAAGGTGTGGAACTAGTATGTGCGTGAGACGTCAACATAAACACAAACACTCATTTTTGTTTAAAACTTACTAACTCAAAAGAGAAGGCCCGAGAGAAAGTTAGTCACGAAGTTATCATGCAGGTGATTTGTGTTTATCTGTACAGGTGAGAGGACTGATGATAAAAATGTGTGGGAGGAGAATACCGAAATAGAAGTTATTGCGTCATTTACAGCCAATCAAAGAACACCAAGTGTCACCTGTGACCTTTAGGATATAAAATAAGACACCTGAAACTGTAAGTTCAAAATCAAAAAGTAATGGCTGCCCCAATAGAGGATGTCCTCATTGAGGTCCATCCATCTGATGGTAAGTTGGGAATGTGTAACCCTATAGTGATAACTATAATGCCTTTTGTTTTTGGTAAATGAACTTGGTAAGTTGTTGGTACATGTATGTTTGTGTTGTACATTAAAAGCAAAAAATAATTATATTTATAGCAGAAAAAGATGAAGTAAGGGTGAAAGAGACGAAAGGAGACAAAGGAGAGAGGACAGAGGAGAAGGGGGACAGAGACAAAGAGGAGGGTGGAGATAGTCAAAAGGAGAATGGTAAGATTAAAAGGTGAAACATACAACTATACATGACATTGTTTTTAATAGAATCAAACGGCTTAAGTAAGTTTATTTACATGTGTAATTGTGTGATAATTTTTGTTGTGAAGTAGCTATGAGAAGGACTATTAAGCTAAAAAGTAATTTTGCATTCAATTTTAGTTAGTTCTATTTACAACAAATAGGCAAGAAGAAAGAAGGAAGGCCCTTAGGCAATTAAACAATAGTTGAATTACTTGTACTTTAAATTCACATTTCTTAACTAAAGACTTGGAACAGTTCAGGCCTGCTCTCCGATGTAAACTTAATTTTAAGTGTAAATTAAAGCTTTATGCCATTGTAATTTAGGGCAGTTGGAACTCATTGAAGAGGGCAGGAGGGAGAGGATGGGGAGTAGTGAGGAGATGGGAGAAGAAACAGAGACAGGAGAAGAGACAGAGACAGGCGAGGAGACAGGGACAGGAGAAGAGACTGGGACAAGGACAGAGAGAGACAAAGGAAAAAAATTTAAAGTATCAAAAGAGCATTATTGAAATGAGTAATCACTAGAATTTTTTCTTTGCTTAGAAAAAGCGAAGGCAGCACAGAGGAGGGTGGGGTAAAGGTGGAAAGCGTGGAAGAGGAGGGAGGGGAGGAGGCCAAGGAGGGAGGGGAGGAGGCCAAGGAGGTAGAGGGGGAGGCCAAGGAGGTAGAGGGGGAGGCCAAGGAGGAACAGGAGGAGCCCCTCGTCCAACAGTAAGGAAAGGAACATAATGAAACATAAGAATAACAATAATCTTTTATAGGATTCATCAGCAAGTGCTAAAACTATAAATTATTTTAATGTTAAATGTAGGAACCTTAATTATAGTTCTAAATAAAATCTAAATAAAAATATTACCTGTAAACTCAAGCAGAAGCTATGTCTGGATGTAAATGACCCAGATGATGTTGTTACAGTTCACAAAAAGGACTTTATTGGCACTAGAACACATAGCAATAACTCTCCAACTTTTGTAGTGAAATAACTTACTTGTATTTGATGTCTCAATGCAAGGCTGGGCTTTAGATCACTCTTAAGATGTCCAAAAAGCAAGAAAAGTAAGTTAAAATGCTGTCAAGTGCTTCTTCCATTTTTACCCGTTTATTAATTGATTTGGGTGTGGTTTATGTGGTGGGCGTGGTCACATTTACTACGTGAACGGGCGTGACACGGAAACATTGAAAATAACTTAAAATGCCTTTTTCTCTGTACTTGTAATCCAGAGTAATCGTCCAAACAGCGTCTCTAACTGCAAAGTTTTATTGCGCATTGTCATAAATGGGATATCGCTGGAAAGGAAATTTTTTTCTCTTTCTGTAAGTACCAAAAACTGATTTTACCAAAATCACGCAGATAGCCTGGTTTTCTCATATCCGGGTCACATATATTTGTATGTCACACTTACATTTCTTCTATACATGTTGTATTGAAGAAGTAACAGAATTTATAAGCCTTAGCAAACACCCGCCCACGCTCCTCACGCAATGGGTGTGGTCATGGCAAACAAAATGGCGGCTTGAACGTGGGACAAAGTGAAGAGCTTTTTAACAGCAAGACCAATAAGATACTGTCTGAAGACTTTTCTAGAAGCATTACAAGGTCGAGAGAGCCTGTATAAGTCTTAATAAAATCTAGTTATTTTTGCAAGGTGGTGACATCAATTATAGCAATATTTTTTACACTGTTACGCTTGTTTTTTGTTATTGTGGCGAGTATGGGCAAGCGCTACTAAGACGAGCAGCATTTGTTTGTTTGTATGTATGTCTGTCTGTACACGTACATATTCCTGATAGTTAATAACGTTTGATAGAAACAATTACTTACAGTAAGTAATGTACACATGCATGTACACGTGTTAAGATGTACATGTACACTTGAGCGATTCTAAAAGGACTTTACATATTCTCTTATGTACATACAGTACATGTACATGTACCTCTTACAATAGAGGTGTGTTGCATTGATCAATAATGACTAGGTATGCATTGAAGTGTATACATGTACTTGTAGAGCTAGCTATATGTAAAGGTACATGTACTTGTATATGGGTATGAAATGCCTCATGTTCATAGTGCATGCAAACAAATACAGTAGTTGAGCAGTGTTGTATACAATGTATATCTATATGTATTTGATTTATTTTTTGTTATTTATTTATTTCTATGTAATTCATGTAGTAGCACTAGTAATCCTGATACTTGTAAAGCCACCTTTTATATGCAGTAATAGGTGACTCCATCATGCAAGAGAGAGAAAGGTTGAAAAGAAATTGATTGACTAATTTGTAGGCAAAGACGGTAGCAGGAGGTTACCATAGTAACCTGCTTCCTCCTCCTTTCCCCGGTATTTGCATAAGATATTCAGGATGATATTGCAGATACTGCCACCTCACCCCTCTTCTCGTTTCAGTGAATGGTACTTAGATAATTCCTATTTTACATTTTTATTTATAAAATTAACTCATCAAATTACATGTTTTATATAAATGAAAATTTTTGAAACGTCATTTGCAGCATGAATGAGCTTAGACAGTTGCCTATCTATCCATAGTGACGGACCAGTGTCAATGTGGTTGTTTCACTGGAAGGGTACACATAAGACATCTTACCTGCATGACAGAGAGAGAGAAAAGAGTTCAAAAAAGTTATATTGAATTAGATATATAGTATAATGGACGATGGAGGCCATAATAATTTGATTGAGGAGTGTCTAAATTTTTGGGTGTTCAATGTACAATGCTACTTCAACTATAGCTCCAATGAGTCTGACTTAGCTAGAACTATGAATAATACTAGGAAGCAATGGGCTGAGTAAATAATGCAGCTCCATAAAAGGTTGCATGAGTCACAAATTAACTCATTTGAGGAACTATGGAACTGATGATGTGGATATGTAAGTCATATAGTTACATTTTCATTTTTATCTTTTTTGTAATACATACATGTAGTAATCTCAATAATGGTTTCACTAATAATTGTGATCATTCCAATATTATTTTTGACGATAAAAGTGAGTCTTAATGACAATTAAGCTCCTATATCTATATAATGTTTTTAGTTAATAACAAAATATTGCTGTCAAAGGCGAGGTAAAAGGATGCAGAGGAGGATTCTGACACCACATTCCTTTAAGAAGTAAGTGGTGTCAATTCATGAACTGGGAGATCCTTGGATGAAACTTTTTATGAAGGAATTAAAAAACTTCATTATGCAATTTAGCTTTCTTGTATCTTTCTTCCTATAATTTTCTTGTATTTCTTGATTTTCTTCTCCACCAGCCAATTAATTGTACTGAGCTAGAGCTAACCGTTACTCGAGTAACTCGACAAAGGTTACTATGGCAACAAATCCATGATTACAGTTATTTTTATGGGTGTGGTACATAACATAATTTTCTTTTTGCTGCCCAGAAGCTGGTATGGAGATTCCTTTTTTGTACCCTCTCTAACACACCCTGTTACTTTGGGTGTCCCTCAAGGAAGAGTCCTGGGCCCACTGTTATTTCTCATCTTTATCAATGACATCCTTTCCTTGGCTAAACAGATCTTAGTCCTGCTATACCCTGAAGATAATAAGTGCCATCGTCCTATCACACAGATCTGGGAGTCCCTCTATTTTTAAGCGGATTTGCACTCTGACCCAGTGGAGTGAGGATAGTATTGCATTTAATAAAACAAAGTCTTTTCTTATGCATTTCTCTCTTCACCCCTCCCTTCCCTCTACTTGTTATTGTATTCACGGTCAACCCCTTGAGGTAAATAAAGAACACCTCTTCTCTGCTGGTCTGACCACATTCGTACCATAGTAGCTAAGGAAGGTGTTGGGTCTACTGCATTGTTCTTTCAAGTCTATGTGTATATCAACATCCATCTGTTGTAGACTCTACATTTCAAGACGTCTGTTGACTACTACAGCCAAATCTTGAGACCCTATTTACTCAAGGACATCAGACTGCTAGAGGTGGTACAAAGACGAGCTACAAAATGGATTTTAGATGATTACATCTATGACTATAAATCTCGTCTACTATCCCTTCATTTAATGCCCTTTTTGATGACAATGGAATTATACGACATCTACTTTTTATCTTCTCCTTCCGAAGCTTTTAATGTACTCCACTATGTATCTTTCAACTCTTCCTGTACCCACTCACCTAGCTTGAATCTAAAACACACTTCCTCTCGGACTACTCCCTTTCTTCAGTTTTACTTTTCTTGGCTCTGGAACTCGCTCCCATCACTCAATCTTCTCTCAGTCTCTCATTCACAGGTGATCACTTTGAGTAATGATCATCTTTGGACTTATTCATGTCACATTTTAATGTTAATATTCCATGCACGTTTCATTATGTGTCCTTGCTGTAACTGCACTATTCATTCACATCCATAATCATAATTATGTTTATCTATCTACTATTTTATTTATTTTTTGAAGCCCAGTGTTATTTACTGGGTTCCCTTCAGCACATATTTTCATTCCTTGTGATTTTACTCTTATTTTTTGTGCTGTAAAGTTTATTAATAACAATGACAATAATAACAGGAAATGATACTTCAGATTTGTAAGCCATAACAGCTCATTATGTCCTCACTCAAGACTGAATACAGACTTTCTCACCGTTACAAAGTAACCACTTGCATATAACTATATGCATATCATAGGCATATCATTCAATTTTCATATGATTTTCCAAATACATTACTTCATTCAACATATTAAAAAATAAGAGACAGAGTACAAAAGAACGAGAATATTGTTTATTTTTGTATTTCATTTTGTCTTATCAACATTGTCATTGGTTATCATGCCAATACACCTACGACATGAAGACTTACCTTGTAATACCTCTTCCTGTCAATCCAGTAGCCATTTCGGAGATAATGTCATGATCATTGACTGTTTTCAGTAACTTCATGTAAATGTACATTGAGATGGCAAAGATGTACATGTGCTTGTACATTTAATTACTATAGTTATTGGCAATGCATGTGTTTTGTGCATTTAGTGACATGCTCATTATGAAAGTATAAAGTTAAACCAAATGGAATACATGTACTTTTATTAGGTATCAATATAATGGAGATCTTCCTTTGTTGAAGGCCGTAAGGTTTTCCCAAAACTTTTGTCCATTCACAAATTAACCATAAATTGCTCATAATATTAATTTTTTTGAATTATTTTCATAATGATTAAAAATGTAATCAATGTGAGTAAATATTATTCATAATTATTGAGTTTCAATTTAGATTGTTTTTTCAATTTCAATAGTTGTTATGTAGTTGCTTTTAGTTGTGTAGGTCACATTCATTTTCTTCTATAGTTGAAGCAACTTTGTATCTCCTTTCAAGTCTAAGGGACTATTGAATTAATCCTTCAAGAGTTGCTCACATATGTCACTAAAAGCAGTCAACAACTTGGATTCCTCTCCGTTAGAAAACAAGTTGGTAGACACCTTCTCACACAAATGTAGAGACTGTAGAATGGAACATTTACTACATTTAGAAAATGTAGTATCACCCAGCATATATACTTTGTTAGAACAATTTATGCAAGAATAGTGTACAGTATAGTTTTGTACACCAATGATTTCAGCTTGTTTAAGAAGGATTGTTGCCTCATAGACACTTTCAGCAATGACGACTGCATCAAGGGATGTAAAGATTGTGTTGCTTGAGAATTGCAGTGTCTTCTCTCTTGAGCTCTTTACTGTGAGAAATATAAAATCGTAAGTATTGTTTCCCTCAAGTTTGTCAATATTACTCTCCCAGCAAGATAAAACGATTGTTCCTGTGCTGTCTCCAAGTGCTACCTCTTGAAGGAGGCCAGTGGAAACTGCTCAAGCTGGACAAACTT